CTTTTAGGGAAGAGGTCCATATTAAAACTGTAGTAGCTACTCATGGTCTCAGTTGTTTTTTCTAAACTTGTGCTATGGTCAAAGGATCAAGAACAAAGAAGCAGTGTACCTTGTTGAATTATAGGAAATTATATTTGTCTGGTAGAACTTCTTGCTAAGCTATGTTTTGTGAGCTGATTTTTTTCCAGGAATTTTTTTCAGGTTTAGTGGTAGGATGTTTTCCAAATACAGTTATGTGTCTGAAATTGCCTAAAAAGTTTGCAGGACCCCAATTTTATAGGATAAACATTTTCACAAGAGGTTCAAATAACCTAAACTTCATCTTTTTAGTCTACCTGATATTGTGCTTAACCCAAAACACACTTTAAATTATTACCTCTATACAAAGAGCTATATGTTTTTCTGTGCAAGCATTTAATGAGTTGGAAAAATTCAATAAATTTGTATAACATGAAGGTCAATTCAAGTGATGTATTGACATCACTTTGAAATCAGTGGTTGCTACTTATACATGCAATATAAATTTTATAAAATTTACAGTAAAAATTCTGCTACATCAATTCAAGTGATGTATTGACATCACTTTGAAATCAGTGGTTGCTACTTATACATGCAATATAAATTTTATAAAATTTACAGTAAAAATTCTGCTACAGCTTATAAGAGCGATTTGAGTTTATTGGGTAATTAAGTTCTTAACTTTTGTGAGATTTGAGTATATTTGGCAGATATGTATTTCAGTTGCAAAAAAACAAGGAAGAAATTAGGTACTCTTGGACTCCAACAGAAATACATAATTTGAACAATCTGACTTTTTTCTTATAATATCAATGTTGAGAATACTGATGGATCCCCAAGCAATATTATGACCTCTAATACCTTCTAGAATAACAGGGAGTATAAACAACCAAAGTCACCAATTAAATAAATATCCTTAGACATTATATATACTGTATTAATGCTGGCTGTAGTCAAGTTATGTTGTTTTATGTTTTTTACTACTTATTGTTGGTATGGCTAACTTCCTAGAGCTGGAAGACTGCCCAATCCTCCTCCCCATCTCCAGGTATAGCACAGCAAGAGCTCACTAGAGAGAAATGAGCTTCAACTCTGCTTCACCAGCGCTATTATTGAATGTTTGTGTCCCCTCAGACCTCATGTGTTCAAATACTGTCCCCAAGGCAATGATATTAGAAGGACTTTGGGAGGTGAGTAAGTTATGAGATGGAACACTCACACTAGGTATTTTCTCTTTTGAAAGAGATCCCAGAGAGCTAGCTTGTCCTTTCTAATGTGAAGATCCAAAGAAATGACAACCATCTCTGAACCAGGAAATAGGACCTCACTGGACACCAAATTTTCTGGTATCTTGAGTTTTAACTTTCATGGGTAAAAAATAAATTTCCTTTCTTTATAAGCCACCCAATTTGTGGTGTATTTTTATAGCACTCTAAATAGACAGAGAAAATTGGTTCTGAGAGTGGGGTGCTGTTGTAACAAATATGTAAGTGTGAAAACAGTTTTTGGAACAAGTGTTTTTGGTTATGTAGAGGCTGGAAGAGTATTGAGGGGCATTTTAGGAAAAAACCATATTGCTATGAATTAATTCAAGGCAATTCTGGTGAGCACTTGTTACCTATGGGCAAGTGGTTGATGGGAGTAATGGCGTTGTAGTGACCTTAATTCTTGGATACAGTGTCTAGGATTAGAACACCATTCCAGAATCAGAAAGAAGAAAACAAATAGGAAGGGCAGAAAACAGTAGAGAAAAAGGCTTCCATTGTGGAAAAAGAAAAGGGCCTTTAATTAAAAGCAAAAGTATGCCTGCATGTTGTAAGAGGTAAGAGAGGCAGGAAGGTTGGAGAGGATACCCCTGGCCTAAGCTGCTGCTGTCCAGGTGTTATCAGGAAGTTTAGCACTGGTGTATACCTTGGTTCTTGTGTCAGGTGACAGAACAATTTAGGCAAGATGCAAAAATATAGTGAAAATGATAGAAAGGTTTATTAGGAAAAAGTACATTTTCAATAGACTGAAAGCGGTAGTCTATAGAATGAGAATGATGGCATCAACATTTGGAGTTGGAATATTGTGAGGAAATCTCAAACCCAGGTTCATCTGATTCGTAGGAAGGGCTCCTGGTCCTGGGTTTTGTCTTATTAAATTAAATTATCTGTGTGAAATTTTTAGTCCTTGATCTATCTGTATGAAATTCTTGGCCCTTGTTCTATTTGTATGAAATTTTCAGCCCTCATTCTATCTGATAATTACCTGAGTGAAATTCTCAACCTCTGGTCTAGCTGATATTTAGGGTGTGGGTAAAACAAGGATTAAGCTTTAGCTTGAGTAAAACAAGGATTAAGCTTTAGCTGAGTGGCAGACTTCAAAGCATCCTGTGATATATCTGAGCCTTCATTGGCTGCTTTGATCTTAACAGAGACTATGGAGTTGGGAAGTTTAATTGTAATGATTTTCTTCTTCTTGTGGCCACTGCTTATGTCTGCCTACTCCCTATCACAGGGTCCTTTGTTGGGTAATGGGGAGGGGGAATTTGTTGGTATGAACTTTTCGGTCCATTCATAATTCTGCCTAAATAGCCAGGGAAGCACACATGTTCACTTGGTTGTGAGAATATGGATACCTGAGCAGTGGCAAAAATGAAGCCTGGCACATGTGTGGTGGGTCCTTTTTGTCCTTCTCAGTCTAGTGTCACTCATGAAGGGTCATACAATGGTCATCTGTGGCTTTTGTGTTAGGTATGTACATACTTGGCTTGGAAATGAAGACATGGGCTCCATAGGGGGATATTTATTAATCACAATCCAGGGTATTTGTTACATTTGGAATGTCCCAGATGTGGGGAAGGGGTAGGCCTGTCCTCTTTCACATTCCTGTCTGACTCTGCCAATTCTAACAAGCTCAGAAAGAAAAGAGAAGAGCTATGAGAGAGCTTCAATCTTAGAGATTATTTAAGTGATTACAAACAAAATATAGAAATATGGACAGTAAAGGTAAGCTTTGGCAGTGTTCATGTGGTGTTCTCTCCCTGGCACACAGAGTACATGAACTACTATGGTGTATGGCTACCTCTGCCCAGATTTCAAAGGCTGGAGTTGTCCAGAGCCATGCAGACAGGGCTGTATGGAATGTTGGTGGCTCAATCCCTGTCCCAGTATCTTGAGAAGGCAGAATGTTAAGTCGAAGATTATTATTTTTTTGGTGGGGAGGGTGGTGGCATTGGGGTTTGAACTCAGGGCCTCGTGTTTGCTAGGCAGGTACTCTTACTGCTTGAGTCATTCTGCCAGGCCTTTTTCTCTGATGCATTTTTTCAAGATAGGGTCCCCCAAACTATTTACCTGGGGCTGGCTTCAAACCACGACTTCTTCATTTCTGCCTCCTGAATAGCTAGGATTACAGGTGTGAGCACTGGCACCTGGCTCAAAGATTACTCCTAAGACTTAAAATTTAACATAATTTGCTTTATTGAGTTTGACTTATTCAAAACATATTGCCCTTTTTTTCTTTTCTATGTCCCATTTATGAAATGAGAATATCTAGCCTATGTCTCTCCTACCACATAACTTGTTTGTTTTCATAGGTTTAGAAGATGAAGGAGAATTTGCTTCAGGATGAATCATACCTTGGATCTTGCTCAAATCCAGTTTAGATAATATTTAGTTGTGACTCTGGACTTTTGAGTTGGTACCAGAATGAGTTAAGACTTTTGGGGCTGTTGAGATGAATGACTGGCTATATTTCGCATGAGAAGGACATGAGTTTTGAAAGGTCAAGGGCAGATTGTTGTGGTCTAAATATTTATGTTCCTTCTAACCTTGAGGTGTGGACACTTGAAGGTAATTAGTTCGTGAAGGCAGAGCTATTATGGCTGGTATTAATTCCCTTTAAAAAGAGACCCAAGACAACTGGTTTATTCCTTCCACCACGTAAGGACACAGTGAAAAGGTAATCTGTATGACTCAGACACCAGACACAGAGTCTGTGGCACCATGATCTTGAAATTTCCAGCCACCAGGATTGTGATAAACAAATTTTGATTGTTTATAAATCACCCAGGTTACCATGTTCTGCTACTGTAGCCTGAATGAACTAAGTACAGCAGTACCTCACGCACATGACTGCACCTCTCTGAGTCTCAGTGTCTTCAGTCATTGTTCCTCCTCATTCAGTTGATGTCAAGAATACATATACAGAGCTTGCTCTGTCTCAGCATAAGCGATCCTTCACCACTGGAGACTCTGTGGAGTCCCCACCAGCAAGAAATCCCCTTAGCTTTGGAAATCCTACCTTCTAGAACCATGAGTAGAACAAATGTTTATTCTTTATTTTTAAAAAAATAATAAGTACGTGGGAAGTCTTATGTGAAGTTTTATGAATAACACACATTTTTATTATACAGATAAGAAAAATGAGACCTGACAAGGCCATCTAAATTTACAATTTGCACAATGGTTCGCCAAACTTGTGTCCATTGAAATAATAATCATGACAAATTAGTAAACATTTGGGTCCTTAACAGGTTCAAAAATAGTAGCTACTGGAGGCACAAAGATAAATATAATACAATCTTGGAAGTTATTGTTTATTGAGAGATAATGTATACTGTGTAAGAATTTAAGTATCACTTAAAAGCAATTTAGTAGAATAGTTTATGATCGTGAGGTGATTTTTATAGATGTTAAATACATTTAAATCAAAAGAGAATTATCATTTGAGTGCAATGTAATAGAATACAATTTGCTTGTTATAGTTCCTGGAAAGTTAGAGGTATTTATGTAAAATATAGAAAATCTATTTATATATTTATATAGAAACTACAGACAAGACAATGGTAAAAATATTTACTGCATGCATTTTCTATCTAATGTGTGATATCAAGTGATGTTAAAAAGAAATTTGAAAACTGTAAAGGCTCTGTTATGCTCTTTTTATGTAATTTGATATTTGTTAGCTATATTGTTTGTCTCATTTGGGCTCCTTTGTAGTGCTCTGTGACCTGTGGCTCTGGAGTTCAGCAAAGAGATGTGTACTGCAGACTGAGAGGTGTTGGTCGGGTGGCTGAAGAAATGTGTGATCAGTCTACACGGCCTTATTTTCAGAGGCAATGCTGGCGTGAGGACTGTGTGAAGTACCAGTGGATGGCAGGAGAGTGGCTAGATGTGAGTACTGACAAGCAAACTTTCAGACAGTGCAGTTAAGAATGTGTTACTCATTTTGTTATTTCATTTCTAGTGTTCAACATCATGTAAGAAAAAAGACACGTATCGGCTTGTGAAGTGCATCGATGCAGAAAACATGCAAGTGAATGACAGTTTCTGTGATCATTTACCCAGACCTCTTTCAATCAAAAGGTGCAGGAACCCTCTCTGCAAGTATGTGGTGGTAACAGGAGACTCATCACAGGTAAGACAAAAACAAAAGCAAAAAAAAAGTCTAAGTTTGGTGGCTCATGCCTGTAATCCTTGGTATTCAGGAGGTAGAGTTTGGATGGTTAAGTTTGAGGTTAGCCTGGGCAAAAAGTTTGTGAGACCCTCTTTCAACAAATAGAGGGATACAGTGTCACATACCTGCCACCCCAGCTATGTGGGGAAGCACAAATAGGAAGTCCTGGCTGGCCCAGGCACTATGTGAGATGCTGACTCAAAAATAAACAATGCTAAAAGGGTTGGCAAAGTGGCTCAAGTTGTACAGCACCTGCCTTGCAAGTATGAGGTCCTGAGTTCCAACCCCAGTACCACTAAAAAAAAAGATGTTGAGAGAAATTTTGCTTTTGAATAAAACAGATGCATCTAAAGTTGACCCAGTTAAAAATGGCTCTAAAATATGAATGCAATTATGCATAGCAATCTAAGGGATGAAACCACTGAAAGCTGTATGGTACAGAGTACATGGCAACATGAATGCTAAACTGTAATGCAAGTCTGCTGACATTTGCATTTGTGCCAATTGTGAACCCAACCACCAGGAGCAGTTTGGATACCTGGCCCTGCATGGTTGTTCACTTTTTTAAAAATAGCTTTACTGAAGTACAATTGACAATCAGTTTCACATATTTCATGTGTACAGTTTAAGGTTTGACATAGATATCCATCCATAAAAACCAGTGCTCTGTTCAAAACAAAGAATATCTTCCAGCACCCCACAAAGTTTCCTTGTGCTTACTTTATAATACCTCTGCCTGTCCCCTTCCACCCCCAGGTAAGCTTACCTATTTTCTATTTTAGTGATATATCACTATGTGAGTTTGCATTTTCTAAGGTTTTATGTAAACAAAATCATATAGTATGTGCTGTTTTTGTTTGATGTGACATAAGTTCTGGGGGATTCAGTGAGTTTATAGAATGTATCAATGGTACTTTTCCTTTTTATTGTTAAATAACATTCCATTTGACTGTAGGAGTGATGGATGTCTTCTAGTTTATTAATCTTTTCTTCTCTGATGAACAATCTACCTTTAATCCCTATTATACTTTTCATCTTAGATATTGCAACATTCATCTTTAAAAGCTAGATTTCAGCTTTTTGTGTATGTAGCATTTTTTAAATTTTTTATTATTGTACTGAGGGTACAACAATAATATTTGACATTTACAAAAGTTCTTACAATGTATCATAGTTTAATATTTTCACACCCATTATCCAACTCTCCTCTGTCTCCCCCTTTTCCCTACCCTCTCTAACTTCTAACTGCTCAATTATTCTCTTATTCTATGAGACTGACTTTTTTTTTTTTTAGCTTCTACAAATGAGTGGAAAATGCAATATTTGTCTTTCTGTTCTTGGCTTATTTCATTTAATGTAATGTTCTCCTGTTCTCCAGTTCCATCCATGTTGTCACAAATGACAAGATTTTATGCTTTTACTATGGCTGAGTAATATTCCATTGTGGTAATTTACCACACTGTCTTTATCCATTGTCAGTAGTCACCTTCTTTGCTTCCATATCTTGTTTATGCTACTGTACTGCAATAAACATTTAGTGCAGTTATCTCTTTAAAAAAAACCCAATGTATCATAGTTGAATTCACTTCCTCCACCATTCTCCTTTATCCCCCTCCTCCATTCCTAGAACAGTTTCAACAGATCTCATTTTCCCATTTACATACATGTGTACATAATAATATTTCCACCATATTTATCCTCTTACACCCTTTCCCTTATATATATCTTCCATATCTCTACTTAACTTTTAAACATATAAAATATAGATATTAATAATTTCAATGTCCTTCTTTGGTAATTGTTTATTTTTTTAATTTGGTGGCACTGGGGTTTGAATTCAGAACTTCACCCTTGCTGGGCAGATACTATCCCACTTGGGCCATGGCTCTAATTCATTTTCTGCTAATTGTAACATCCATGAATGCTAACAACTTAAAGAATTTTTAGCATATTAAATTTCTCTAGTCATCACCATGTTCTAATGCCATATCCATTAATTTTCACCTTCCCACTTGCCCCTCACCCCAAACAAACACTAACTACTTTATGTCTTTCTGGATTTGCTTGTTTTAGACATTCTGTATAAATGGAATCATATAGAGTATGTGGTATTTTGTGTCTGTCTTCTTTCATATATTATGTTATTTCTAAGGTTAATCCATGTTATAGCAGACATGAGTGATTCATTCCGTTTTATGACTGAATAATATTACATTACAAGGATATATTACATTTTATTTATTCATTTGTCAGTTGACAGACATTTGCATATGACTATTATAAATAACACTGCAAGGAACAGTTCTGTAAAAGATTTTATGTGCACATATGTTTTCAATTCTTTTAAACCTGCACCTCAGAGTAGAAATGCTGAGTATTATAACTCTGTTTAATTTTTTTTAGGCGCTGCCAAACAGTTTTTGAGAGTTGTGCCATTATTTTTCATTCTTATTAGCAATGTATGAGGGTTCCAATTTATCCACACCATCCTCAGCATTTTGTATGTCTCTTTTAGTATAGCCACCCAGGAGTATATGAAATGCTGTTGTATTGTGTGTTGGAATTGCATTTCTTTGATACTTAAATGGTAAGGATGTTGAGCATCTTTTTATATGCTTTTTGGCTATTTGTATATTAACTCTGAAGAGATATCTACTGAAATTCTTTGCCCATTTAAAAAAAACCAGGTGGTGTCTTTTTCTTTTTTTTTTTCAAGATAAATGCAAAAGGTGTATTGCACCAAATGCCACAGAGAAATAGACCAAAATAATACATGAACAAGTTTTAAGAAAAAATTTCCACACATTGTCATTGGTATCCATTCAGCTGATCAAATACATAAAGTATTTCCAATTTCTCTTGATAGAATTTCAATATTAACAAATCCCAGAATCTTCTCCTTTTTAAATCACCACTTAAATTTAAGCATATTTCAATCTTACTTCCCAGATGTATGGTTTACCAAATTTTGACATTTAAAATTTAACATTCAGTGGTAGCTGCTTGATTTGGGCAAAAATTATGTTAATATAAACTATCCCCAAGTATAATAAAAAAACAAAGGGTTCACATTAACTAGGAGAAGCTGAAGACTCTTAATTTAATGGTAAAAGTGTACATGAACAGTATTTTCCCAAAGTTCATATTAGACATTTAAAAGAATTTGAAGATCATTTATATTCTGTTTGTACAACCAACTCTAGTGAGGAACCTGAAAAGCAGTTCTTTGTATATACTGAGTACCAGCTTTTATCAGTTACATAATTTGCAAACATTTTCTCCTATTCTGTAGGTTGCCTTTTTACCTTCCTGATAATTTCCTTTGATGCACAAATGTTTTTAATTTTGGCAAAGTCAAATTTATTGTGTTTTTTTATTGTTGTTATTTATGCATTAGTATCACATCTAAAAATTGTTGCTTATTTGTGATCAGCTATGTACCACAAAGATGTACACCTATGTTTTCTTCTAAGACTTTTACATTTTTAATTCATATATTTAGGACTTTTGTGTGTGAGATGAAGTCAGCATCAAGTTTCTGAGATTAATTTTGTGTGTGAGATGAAGTCAGCATCAAGTTTCACCCTATTGCATATGGCTCTCCTGTTGTCCTAGTGCATTTGTGAAGATTCTTCCTTGAATTATTTTGGCATCCTTGTTGAAAGTCAATTATCCACAATGTATTGATTTACTTCTGACTCTCCCTTATCTAAATGCCTATCCATATGTAATCACCACATACTCTGGTTACCGTATTGTGTAAAGAGTTAGGAAGTTAGGAAGTAGTTGATCAACTTTTTCCTTCCTTCCCAAGATTGTTTGGCTATTCTGAGTCTCCATTTCTTTTTGAATTTTTAGACCAGCTTGTCAAATTATGAATAAAATTCAGTTCAGATTTTGTTAGGAATTGCAATGGATTTTAGTTTGGGGAATATTGCTATCATAATAATATGATCTGCCATTTCATGAGCATAGGTTACCTTTCCATTTATTTAGGTCTTTTTATTTAATTTCTTTCAATGGTGTTTTGTAGTTTTCCATATACTTCTTTTGTTAGATTTATTCCTATTTTATTATTTTTATGCTCCTTTGATGTGGACTTCTCTTAAATTTCATTGTTCATTTATCTTTTGCTAGTGTAGAGAAATACTACTGATTTTTGTATATTGAACATGTTTATTGGATCCAAATTTCATGTGTGTGTTGTTGGGTTTTCTATAGATAACATTGTGTCATCTGAAAATTTGGATGCCTTTTATTACTTTTCCTTGCCTAATTTTCCTGGGTAGAAACTTTAGAACAACATCAAATAGAAGTGGGTAAAAACAGGCATCCTGGACTTGTTTTTGCCCTTTGTCGGAAAGTTTTCAGTTTTGCTATTAACCATGTTAATGGGGGTTTTTGTTTTGGTTTGGAGGGTTTTATTATGTTGTCTTTGGAGACTCTATCAGATTGAGGAAATAGTCTTCTATTTCTAGCTTGCTTAGGGTTATTATGAACATGCATTGATTTTTTTCAAATACCTTTCTCTTCTATATTTTGGTGGACTTTTGAAAGGGTTGGTGCTAATTCTTTAAACATTTAGACCCAGGCCTTTATTCTAGTGAAGATTATATTATAAATTCAATCTCTCTATTTGTAATAAATCTATTCAGATTTTCCCTCTTCCTCAAAGTTTGCTGTTTGTTATTATTTGTTTAGTGAATTTTCTGAAGCAATGTTGAGTCTGTATTTTTTGTCATATATGGTAACTGAAGTCTCTGCTTAGTTTATTTGTCAGATTAAAAAATGGACAGTGATTTCCTGGGCTGGCAGAGTAGCTCAAGTGGTAGAGTGACTCCCTAGAAGTACAACAGCCTGAGTTCAACCCCTAGTACCAAAACAAAAAGCCATTTTCTTAAATATCTGGAATCAATCAATAATCCCCCAGCCTTTGTGCCAGGAGTGTGGGGTGTGTGTGTGTGTGTGTGTACCTTCAACACCCAACCACGCAAGTTGACAACTCTTCCTTGACCTTAACTTCCTGCTTCTGCAGAGCCTTTAATGCCAGATCATGCAGAACTCCTTGATATACCTCTACATATATCCATCCCTGTCTACATTCCTACTAATATATTAGAGTTTTTAAAAGTTCCTTTAGACATATAACTTCTCATCTTTTTTCTTTCAAACTTTTTGGCTTGTATTTTTGCTCTAGCTGTTATCTACCACAAATAACAGCTGTTATCTATCACAAACAACAGCAAAATTAAATAATGGCTTCAATTGTGTTGAACAAATGCCCCTAAGTTTGAGTCAAATAAAGACAACCTTACCAGTGATGTCTTCCAGAAAACCACTGAACTGTTCAAGTAGTGACAGTTCTTTGGAAATGTGGCTTTTTACAATGTCTAAACCTATTTCTTCCCCTTCCAGTTAAGTGCAGGACTATTGCTTTTCAAGACTCCCAGAGAGCTGTAAAGGAAGGGAAAAGTTAAGATACCACAAAGCTTACTATTCTTATGGAGATTTACCCATGGTTCTTAAATAAGTGTCCCCTAGTGCTAAAAATCTTGTTAACTTCTGAAGTTCTAAAACTTGAACTGAATAACCAACTCTTCTGGTTTTCTTATAACTTTTATAGAGGAGAAAATTTTTAGATTTCTTTACTCTGCTGTTTTCACTCATTTAACCCCTCAGGATATGTTTTGATTAATGAGTTTTTCTCTTCAGTATGTCTCATTTTTAATGCTTCTCTGCATCCTAGATACTTTATTGCATGTTGGACATAATGAATTTTTTCCTTTTTGGTTACTGGATTTATTTTATTCCTGAGCATATATTTTTGACTTTCTATAGGACACAGTTATTTTTCTGTCTTGCTCTTAAGACTTGTTAGGCAACCAATTCATGGCTTAATTGAAGGCTAATTATCCCCCTGTACTCTGACAAGAACTTTTTGAGTACTCTACCTGTTGTCCCATGCCTATAAGGGTTTGTAGTCTGGTTGGGGAAATGAGCACTGTACTTAGTCCTCTGTGAGCCCAGACACAGTAACCTCTATGCCTTGAAGTCCAGCTACAGTAACCTTTTGAGTTTGGTTCATCCTCTGGCTTTGGGTAGTATCTGTACATGTACACTGAGAATCTGCCATCTTCCTTATGCCAGAACCTAGAAACTGTCAAAGCAGTAGCCTGGAGCAATTGTAGAATCACTATGTTTGTTTCCCATATCCTAGGGATAGGTCTTCTTTTGTGCTTCTTGTTGAGTGCCTTAAAAGCCACCATTTAATATAGTTTGTCCAGGTGTTTTGGTTTGTTTGAGGTTAAAAGTTAAATCCATTCATTACTACTTTATTTTTGGCTAGAAGCAGAAGTCTACTTGCCCATTTTTTTGTCATTTGGTTTTAGTTTAAATCTAAATCATGTACCTATTTAAATCAAGTAATATTAGACTTCATAATATATGTATTAATGTTATGTTTCACATAAGACTCCATGATATGTTTTATTTCTCCAAAGTTGTGTCTTTTGGGACACATTCATGCATTTAAGATATTCCTATTGTATTATGGGGGAAAAAACTCCATAGGCTCTACTGATACAAAACCCATCTTGAATCTGGGTCTTTGCTGCTTTTTGGCACAATTCTGGGAAAGTTGCCTAAATGTCTTTGAAGCTTTGCTTACTCATCTGTAAGTAAGGCTAATTAAAAGGGATTGTTGTGGAGATGATGTATCATAGTATATATTAAGCAGCTAATAAATACTAGGCTTTGGTTCAGTTTCAGGACATCTTATCTCCTTGTAATTGTGTGTTTTTCAGTGTGCAGGTAACTGTGGACTTAGTTACCCACAAAGGATTACATACTGTATTGGGATCCAGTCTACTAAGAAACATAAGCTCCATCAGTTTTGGCCTATAGAATATCGACAATGCCCTGTGCTGCCTTCTCCTCAGACTTACAAATGCAGTACTAGAAGCTGTTTGCAAGTGGCCACTTGGAAAGTTGGGAAATGGAGCCAGGTCTGTGTATAGTCATGAATTTAAAGCCTTTTGAATAAGACTCTGTGGGTAGAATACCTGGTAATCTACATGTCTAATTATCTAATTATCATTTGCAAAGGTTCTTATAATGTATCAAATGTATCAAATATATCATACTAATTATCTAATTATCAAAGTTGTACAAATAACTGATAAACTAGTTTTTAGATGATAGGGTACTAGATAACTTTGATAGTTCTAGCTTTTATTGACCCTCAATTTGTTTGGAAAGGGACCTAGTCTGAGAGAAGGAAGCATGGATTTACTGTACTATTAATTTACTTTATAATTTAGTATATATTTTACCTTCAAATTTTACTGTGTTCACAGTGCTCAGTGACTTGTGGAACTGGGATAATGGAGAGAAGAGTAGAATGCATGCTTGAAAATGGTTGGCCCAGTGACCTGTGTTTAAAGCATTTAAAACCAGATGCTCAAAAGAAATGCTATGGCAATGACTGTAAGTAAAATACTTCAAAAATCTACCTAGAATCTAAGTGTTCCTAAGAAGTGCTGGCTAAAATGTGAAATAAATATATTTAATAGTCATACCCTCCACAACAGGAAGTGTCAGTTCTTCAGAGTATAGTGATAGTCCCATGATCAAGTTCATACTGTGTTTATAATTTCCTCAGTGTTAATGTGTCCTGTTAATTTGTCTTTGAAGGTAAATCATTTACCACCTGCAAAGAAATCCAAGTTAAAAACAACATTACCAAGGATGGTGACTATTACCTTAACATTAAGGGAAGAATAATAAAGGTATTATGAGAAAGTTTCTAATTGATTTTCACATTGGTCATTGACTTTGGAAAAAGTTTTCTAGATGTTTGCATTTTTCCTTTAGATTCATTGTGCAGGCATGCACTTGGAGAACCCCAAGGAATACTTATCATTGGTCAAAGGTGAAGACAACTTTTCTGAAGTGTATGGCCTTAGGTATGAGTTGTGTTTTGTCCTGTCCAAAAATGTTCTAGCCATCAGTGTGATTCATGAATAGAGCTCACATATGGGACAAATAATTTAGAAGGAAGTAGGCTATTAGGACCTAAGCCATCTGTTGTCCTTGCCTATTTAATAATAAAGACTTGACCGTTAACTTATGACCACAGAGAGATGGACTTAAAATGTGAGTGAAGGTGGGACAATTGAGAAGTGACAAGTTTTAGACATGTATATCTTCACAGAAACCAAATTAATTCTAGTAACAAAAGGTGGAGAATTTAATTTGAATCATTTTTCTACAAATTGTCCTTCGATTTCTCATTAAAAATTTTGTAAGTTAATTTTGATTAATTTTTATTTCTTCCATTTAACTCGTTAACAGTATGATATTAAATAACAGGAGTAAAAAAAAATTCATTGTTGTTCTAGACTACAAAATCCATATGAATGCCCTTTTAATGGAAGCAGGAAGCAAGACTGTAAGTGTAAAAATGACTACCTAGCTGCTGGATACACTGCTTTCCACAAAATAAGAATTGATGTCACCTCCATGCAAATTAAAAGTAAGTACTAAATTTCTGTCTTTAAAAAGTAATGTCTCTCTTTGATAATGAAAAGTCTAGTGATATACTGGTATATATGAGTGTAGAGAGGGACCTAGCATTGGGTTACAATTATTTAACTTTTTAAAATGTTACTTGTAAGCCGTTTATTGACAGAACCTGGGTGACCAAAGCCGTAAAAAGAATGGGGGGAGACTACTGAGTCCTGCTCAATAGCCACTTTAATAAAGCATCCTTTGCTTTTATAAACTCCTTTTACACAGGGAGCAGTTGGTCAGAAAAAGCATGCCAAGTATTACATGTCTTACATTACAGGGAAGCACAGTTAAAATTAACTCTTTGTTATGTCTCCTTTAAAACCAGAACAGAGAAGCAGAAGCACACGGTCAGCATAACTTTCTTATTTACATCTCAAAGACACGAAGCCGTCTGGGAACCTTGAATACTGTTTTTCTGGACGTCTGGCTTTCTCACAAGGCCAGATACCAACTCACACAGGCACAGTCTGATCTGGGACTTTTGCCTCAGTTCCTTGGAGTTTTCTCACAAGGCCAAATGCCAACTCACACAGACACAGTCTTGTTCCAAGGCCTTTGCCTCAGTTCCTTGGAGCTTTCTCACAAGGCCAGATGCCGACTCACACAGGCAAGGTCCCACTGCTGGCTCTGACAGTTACTAGCTACATACTTTCTCTGAAATAATATACATCATGGGGACCCTTAATTGAAATGTAATGATAGTGATAGTCATAAGTTACTGCCCTTCCAAGCTAAAACCTCTACTTAGAAATCCCTGATTACATTAAAGACAAAGAAATTAATATCTTCAGCACACTTATGTAAGCTTTTTATGGGGTTTATACTTATAATTAACATAAGTTACAAATTAGAATTGAGCAAGTTTTTTTTTTCCATGCACTAACTTGGACTTAGAAAAAAAACTTACATTAGTTAAGACAGATGCTGTATCACAAGGTTACAAGTGATGAAATTAGGATGAATATATGGAACTTAAGTGACTTGTCCTAATTTATAGTAACTGGCATTGAAAGGAAATAAAGTTCTAATCATAGACCCAATGTCATGGATCATACTATCTTTCCAGGAAATATTTTATAATATGGTCAAATCAAAACATATTTATGGAACCTAATATACACTGGGTATAATGCAGCCTGCCATATTGAAAGTTATATATCTGAATGAAAAGGCAAAGACTTCATTTCAGAAATCAGACCTTATCTCAATCCTCATTATATCACTGGTGCCTAGCACAGTATGTGAGTCCTTCCTTCCTTCCTTCTTTCCCTCCATCCCTTTCTCCCTCCTTCCTTCCTTACCCCATTCTTTTCCCCTCTTTTTGTTTTTTGTTTTTAGTTTCTTTGAAATGGTTTTCTCCAAGCTGGCCTGGAACTCACTTTGTAGCCCAGGATGGTTTCAAACTGGTGATTCTCTTGCCTCCACCTCCCAAGTGCTTGGATCATGGGTATCTGATACCATGCCCCAAAATTCTTGGTTTTCCTCTTGCATAATTCAGTGGCAGCATTTGACTTCTAAGACACCACACTATCATAGATTTGTGGCTTTTAAACCAGTCTTTCTCTTATCTTTCTCACTGTTTCTCAACTTAACTAGTGGCTCTCCATCTTCCATGTCATTGAATGTTAGAGTTTTAAGACTCATTCATCCCCTTAATAAGTATTAAATTTATAGACTTCAGATACCATGTATTGAATGACAATCTCATGATGCAAAAATGTACATCTCCAAGATTCCCTCATTGTCCTAACAGTTCCAATATAGCTCAAAAGACCAAGTTTAATATCTCTTCGGAGGCTCAAGGCAAACTTGTAGTAGTGAGCCCCTGTAAAATCAAAAAGAATGGCCATGCTTCCAAGACACAATGGCATAGAGTAAACATTCCCATCCCAACAGGGAGGAGTAGGAGACTGCAAGGAAGTATCAGACCAAAATAAAAACAAAACCCAGTAGGGCAAACATTAACTCTTTTATTTAGCTCCATGTTCAACAGTCTCTAAGGCACCTGGTTATAGGATGTAAGCTTCCAAGATCTTAGGCAGTCCCTTCCCTTACACTTGCCCTTTGCAGTCCACATGGCCTTTCTCCTAGGGTGGCTCAGCTCACCACCTGCAATGTTCCTGGCATGTCCAACTTCCAGGAGTCTCTATGGAATTTTTGGATTAGCACTTAGCTTCACACATTGAAGTGGGCTGTCTGCAGGATTCCATTTCCATCACACGTTGTCTATCCTCCTAGGCCTTACTTTGAAATCTGGGTTGAAGCATCCATGATCCATACTTCTTACATTCCATATGTCTACAAAGCCATCATCACATGAATGATGTCAAGGTGATTCCAGTTTATGCAGCTCCTTGGATCCTGGCTGCCATTGTCTCGGAATGACTGATTACTGAATACTGGGAAACACTTTTTGTAGGCATCCCTGTGCAATCAGGGTACCGGGAGCTCTTAAGTTTTTCAAATGAGTTAAACCTTCACACCCCTGATCCTGCAATGGTCAGGTCCACCCAATTCCTGAGATGCCCTCAAGGCATCTTTCCTATTGTCCTTATGAAAGGTACTTGATTTCTTTTTAATGTCCATAGTCTCTTTAACAACCATGCTCTCTCCTTGTCCCCAACTTTGAGTACATGTTTTTTCTAGCCAAAGTGCACATTTTTAGATCTTTTCAGTCTGCTTTTTTTGGCTTCTAATTCTCACTATAGATGTGGCTAAAAGCAACCAGAAATAATCATGTCACAGCCTGAAAACCATACTATCTTGAAATTCCTTCCACCACCAAATTAGCCCAATACTTTTAAATTAAGCATCATTCAAAGTCTCAGGGCACAGAAAAAAATGTAGACAAATTCTTTGCCCCAATAGGATATGAATGACTACTAGCCCAATTCCCAATTTCCATCTGAAAACTTATGAGCAATATTTACTATCCCATTTCTATCAGCATTTTGGTTTTCTGAGCTCCACAAGAATCCTCCAATAAGCTCTGCTTACAGCATCCTAAGCTTTTTCTAGCCTATTTTTGCAAACTCTTCCAAATTCCTGCTATATAGGTTTTATGCTTTTGTATTGATGTTAAATATTAAATAGTTTGTATATAAATATAAACTTTTATTTGCATTAAAAAAAAAAACAAATTCCTGCTATAAACCAGTGCCAAAGATTTAAGAACCACATTGTCAGGTAGTCATGGCAATGACCCCCCCCCTTCTCTGGTGCCATTTTTCTGTTAGTTACTTTCCTCATCACTGTGACAAAATATTGACATAATGACTCAAAGTGAGGAATTACTTATTTGGGCTCATGGCTTGAGAGGATTAAGTTTGAGGTTGCTTGACTGGTCCCATGTGCTTGGGAAGAACATCAGAAAAGCAAGGAAGATTCCCACCTCATGATGGACAGGAAGCAGAGAGAGCAGTAACAGGAAAGGTACAGGGTTCAGGACATGTCTTCAAGGACTTATTTCCTTCAGGTAGACCTCATCTCCCAAAGTTTCCAGAACCTCCCAAAATAACATCAGCAGCTGGGGACCAAGGGTTCAACACATGAGACTGTAAGGGACATTTCACATTCAAACCATAGCAGGATTGTTATCCCTGTGGATAAAGAGAGACTACTCTATACAATTAAATCTTATCTTGTTAGCCAAAGGAGCTGTTGGAGTAAACGTATAAGCAGGTATTGGAACAGACTTGGATGGAGGGAGTTACATCCATGAAAGCAATTAGGAAAATAATGTAGTAATTCAGATAGAAAGTAATAATTGCCCAAGTTAGGGCATAGGTCAGGATAGAAGACTATTTGAGGAATATGAAGAGAGTTGGTTCTATAAGATTTCCTGACAGAAAGATTGTGGAAATTCGTGACATGGAGTATTTAGAAAGTTTTTGAAAATATCCAAGTGGAAGGTTGTAGAGTACAATAAGATGGAAAACAAAGCAGGGGACATAAATTTGTAGAAACAGATAATGAATTTAGCTTGGAAATATCTGTGACCAAGTAATGATGCCCATTGATAGATTTCCTAGACCTTATCGTAGTCAAATGAACTAGATAAATACTTAAGAGTCATCACTGTGTAACAGTTGATGAAACTGATGCTATTTATGGGTCATTAAGCCTTTGAAGAGATAGCAAGGATACTTTGAAAGTTGTCTCTGCCCCACCCTAACCACTAAGTGCCATGAATAAGCAGTGGCAAACAGACAAATATTTAACACCCAAATATCCAGGAAAAATTCTGACTTGTAGTGTTTGTCAATTTCCATGACATAAACATTACCACCATGGCTACTTATAAGCTGTCACTATGATCCTGTTATTCATGAAGTTGGGAAGAGATGCTCTCACTGTTTGGTGCTACCTTGCTCTGGCAAAGCATAGAAGATCTCCTAGGTTTGGAAATTGTCCTTGTAGGTAAAATACACATTTTCAGAAATGCTACCTTCAGGAATTGCATCCTGGTATCATCTTATATGAGGCAGTAGTCTTACTATCTCAAAAGCTGTTGAAGCAGGGGCAATAGTAATTATGTGAATAATTTGTTTGGAATATTATTGAAGTGATTCAAGGTTGAATAAGTGATTGGAACTGCTAACGTTTAGGATTCCTTCCAAATATATTTGATCCAATAATTATATTGTTGATACCTTGTGTAGACTCTCTTATACTATTGCCTATCAGTAAATTTTGGTAACAATCTTGGAAAAAGTAAGAAGAAAGGAATAATGCAATGCAACAACATGTGAAATCAAGCAGCACACATTTTAGCTTTGTGTTTATGAATTACCCAGGTGAATTGATATTTATGCAGCTCATGAGAACTCAAATTGCTTTGGCATAATTTATCTATTGTTAATCTTTTTTTCCTTTGGTGATTTTGTTCCTGACGCCACTTAGGTAATCCCTATGGCATAAGATAATATAATATTTATTTAGTTTGTACATGTTTTAATTATAGATCTGTCTGCCATTTTTAGAGTAATTTAGAGATGAACACTTTTGTATTAAAGAGAATTTATTCATTAAGAGACTGTTCTAGGTTTTGTCCTATAATTGGGACAATATTTCTGCTTACATTTTGAATTAACTGTGTAAATAAATTTAAGACAATAATATGAAAATGCTTATTTGACAATAAATATTTCATTATTCTCTCAATGTTAAGGAGTCTCATTTGTTATTTTCTAGCAATGGACCTTCTTTATTCTCAGACAATATTTGGAAAAGCAGTTCCATTTGCCACAGCTGGAGATTGCTATAGTGCTGCTAGATGTCCACAGGTATTTCATACTTATTTGATTGTTTTTCCTTCACTATGAAAAAATGTTCATTGTCTTGATCAAAGTATTACAAGAAAATAGATATGTAAAGCTTCCCCTATGAACTCTATATCAAAGACTATAAATTTTAGGAAATATCGTTAACAATATTGGGTTTTCTTGAAAGAATATAAATTGTTCCAATCCTGTTTCTCCCTTGATGATACCTCATCATTTTGAATCTTTCCACTTAACCCACAGAAGTGGGTGGATATTTACTAAAAGGTAAAGGAACAGATCATAGACATGTGACTTTTATATACTTCTGCTGTCATCAGTTATATTAGCTGTATGGGTCTGTGATATTCTTTTTATGGACAAATGTCCACCAGAAGTCTGTATATAAAGATATGGTCGCCAGGGGTCCATATGAGGAGGTGCTGAGCTGTGGGAGGTGGAGTCTATGGGGAGGTCCTTAGGTCATTGGGGTCATGCCCGTGCAAGGGATTGTGAATCCTACTGTTTTGCTCTGTTCTTGGCTATGATGTGAGCACTTGCTCTAACACACACCTTGGCCATGATGTGTATCAAAACCAAATTCCCAAACAAATGAGAACACCCAGTATTGGACTGAACATCCAAAACTGTGAGCCAAAATAAACCTTCTCTTTAGAAAGTTAATAGCCTCAGATACTTCATTGTAGAAATGTGAAACTGATTAATATACACTTCCAAAATTATATTCTCTTATCTATGAAATGTACAGAGGGTACATTTCTATGTTTTTAATCCCTTAATTCTAGTGTTTCCCTCACATACTTTTTCATGTCATTTATGTGACTTCTAGAGTGTACATTTTATTATCTCATTTTTGATAAGAGATTTTATATAGTCCATGCAGATAACAGTTGTATAATAAGGTGGAGAATTGTAAACTAAGTGAAAATAACAGTTTTGTGCAGATTTATAGCTAACTGAACATATGAATCAAATGTAATATCCAAGAGGTATAGTAATAAAAATGTTAGATTTTGAAGAGAAGTTTTTAGTGGTTTTCTAAAGCCCTATAGTGTTGGAATTTCCCATTCACGATTTTATCATATGGCATAAAATATATGTTTATATTAGGATCATAAGAGATAGTCTATATTGTAGAAGACAAGAGAGATAACAGGCATAAAATCACAGGCTGAAATACATTAAAAAAAACTGGAATAAATACAGAAATGTTAACTTAGGTCCAGAAACTCAAATAAAACCTAGAAATGTTATATGAAAGAGACTTCAGTATTTTATTTAATCATCATGAGTTCAATATGATTCAGAGAATAGAGTGACTTATAGGCAACCTAATGTAATCCTAAAACACCAGAACACAATATTGAGCCTGTAAGATTTATTTGTAACTGACACTGGAGTATCATACTTATATTTAAGTATCTATCTGTAACAGATAATTTTTAATCTATCAGGGTGTAGGAATTGGTCACAAGGAAAAAAGGGAGAGTTTTAATAATTCTACACAAGGAGACTTAAAAAGGTAGTCAGGAAGGCATCGGAAGTTATAATAGCTAAGTTTAAATATTTAAAGAGCTACTATGAAAGAGGAGGAGTGCAAGTGTGTTACTCCAGGAAAAATTATTATGGCAGCAGATTCCAGCTCAACATAAATAAGGCTTGGATAAGGAGAATTGTCCTGTAAAAAGAATCCCAAATCTGGGGCCCAAATAAATCATCAATTTTTGTCCATATTTTAAGCTTGATCTTGTATCCTGCAATCCTGCTGAATTTATTTATTACTTGTGGTATCTTTTTAGTATATTCCTAATGCTTTAATAAAACCATGATGATGTCATCTGTGAATCAAAATGCTTTTACTCCTTCCTTTTTAATCTGGGTATCTTTTGATTTTTTTGTCTTGCCTCATTGTTCTGACTATCTCTGTCAGTGCAGTGTTAAATATAAGGCAAGAATGAATGTCTTTATGTTCCAAGTCTAAATGAAAAACGTTCAGTTCTTCCTCATTAAGCGTGTAAGATGCCCTTAATGAGGTTTAAGGAAGTGCCCTTTTATTTCTAGTTTAAGTGTTGTTATCATACAAGGTGTTGGATATTACCTGCCTAATGCTTCTTCTGCATATATTGAGGTGATCATGTGATTTTTGTCTATTATTGTATTGATAAGAGTATAATATACTGATTGACTTTCGTATTGAAACAAACTTACATTCTGTGATTAAGTCCCATTTGGTCATGGTGTATAACTTTTTTAGATGTTGCTAGATTTTAGTTTGTAACATTTTGTTGAGAACTTTTCATTTAAATTCATAAGAGTTAATGTTCTACCATTTTTTCTCTTGTGATGCTTTGGTTTGAGTGTTGTGGAACTATTAGCCTCAGAGAATAAATTGGGAGGTATTTTTGCTTTTCTACTTTTGGAAGCAGTTTGTGAAGAATTTCTTCCTTAAATATTTTGTAGCCTTCACCAACAAAGCCATCTGATCCTGGAGTCTTCTTTGTGAAATGTTTTTTAGCCATAGCAGCTAAATGTCTTTATTCATTATAGATCAATTTGGATTTCCTAGTTCTTTTTAAATCAGTTTTGGAGTTTATATCCTTTTAGAAATTCTTCCATTTCACCTGTTATCTAATTGGTTGTAATACATTGGTCCTGGTGTTCCTTTGTATCCCTGCATATTTTTATAAGGTTACTAAGTCTCGACCCCTCTTTCATCCCTGACTTCAGTAATTTGAATTTCTCTTTCTCTCCTCTCCTCTCATCTTCTCTCTCTCTCTTTCTCTCTTGATTTGGTGGATCTAGCTAAAGGTTGCTTAGTTTTGTTCTTTTCAGAAAACCAACTTTTGGATTTATTAATTTTATCTATGTCACAAATTTTCTACTCTACTTTTTATTATTTATTTCCTTCTGCTTGCCTTAGATTTGATTTGCTCTTTTTCTAGTGCCTTAATGTGAAAAGTTAAATTATTGATTTGAGATTTTCTTCTTTTAATATTGCATTTATAGCTATAAATTTCCTTTTAATGAATTTTTATTAGGATATATTTGTTATACAGGGTAGGGATTCACAGTGACAATTCTGATTAGACATATTTTGCATTAGTTACATTGCTCCCATTGTCTCTTCTCATTTCCTTTTAAACACTTCTGCTGCACTCAGGACTTTTATGTTACAAGTTTATTTTCATGTATCCTAAGGTAGTTTCTATTATTGCTGTGGAAGTCTTCCTTAAGTCATTGATTATTTAAGAGTATGGTGTTTAATTTCCAAATATTTGTGAATTTCTCAAATTTTCTTCTATTTTTGATTTCTATTTTCCTTCTACTGTGGTTGGGAAACGTACTCTGTATTATTTCAATCCATTTGAATTTATCAAGGCTAGTTTTATGGTGCAGCCTATGGTTTATCCTGATGAATGTTCATAGCATGCTTGGAAAGAATGCCTGCCCTGGTGGATGAAGAGTTTTAAAGGCTACAGGCCTTACAGGTTTAGAATGTTGTTCATCTCTTCTTTTCCTTGTTGATCTTCTGCTTAATTGTTCTGTCCACTGAAACTCTATAAGTATTGTCTTGAGATTGTCTGTTTCTCCATTTGATATCATTTCATGGGCTTTGTTTTGTTTCATTTACTTTGGGGTTTTATTACACATAATTATATGTTCACACATAACTTCATAAGAGACTGACCCTTATATCAGGATATGATTTTCCCCTTCTGTCTGCAATTACCTTTTTGTTTCTTTTAAAATTTAATTTATCTGATGTTAGTGTGGCCACTCCAGCTTTCTTAGAGTTGCTGTTTACCTAGTATATATGTTTTCATATCTTTACTTTCAGCTTATATCTTTGGAGCTTAAGAGTGTCTCCTACAGTGTATTTTGCTGGGTTTCTGCCTTTTGATTAGATTTTTAGTGTTATTGATATGCCTAGATTTATGTTCACTATTTTATTTTCTATATGTTCTTTTCTCTATAGCTCATGTTGCCTGTGTTCCACTGTTTCTCCTTTATGCTTTCTTTTTTATTCAGTGAATGTTTTCTATTGTAACATTTAGTTTCATTAATTTTTTCATTATTTCTTAAAGTTGCTTTTATTAAGTGGTTGTTCTAGGTCTACAATATACATTAACATCAGATCCACTACAGATTCATACTACTGACTGTTTCTATACATCCAGTGACATACAGAAACAGTTCTTCTATGTGCAGTTGTCTTTCAACATCAGTGGGGGACCGGTTCCAGAACAGCTCATAGAAACCAAAATCCACAGTGTAAAATTTGCATCTGACATGTGAATATCCATCCTCCCATAGACTTTTAAATCATCCCTACATCACATATAATACTTAATACAATGTACATGCTTTGTAAATACTTATCATACTGTATTGTTTAGGGGATAATGTTATGATTTTAAAAAGCCTGTACATGTTCAGAAAAGGCAAAGTTATTTTTCAAATAGTTTTGATCCATGGATGAAGAACTCATGGATAAAGAAGGTCCAATTACATGCACTATTTTTTTCTCTTTTCTGGCTATATTCACTACCAAAAACTGCAACAAACTTACAGTATTTTGTTACATTATTTCCTTGTATAATTTTTCTTTTAGAGGATATGAGAAAAGAAATGAGATGAGCTATATACTCATAGTTTATTATATGAACCTTATAATTTAGAAATTATGTTCTCTATTTCTTCCTGTAGATTTGATTTCTTGGGGTGTTATTTCCTAGCTCCAGTGTAGCTTTGATTCCACTTGTCTTATTTGTACTCTTCTTTTCTTTTCTTTTTTCTGATAGTGGATTAGATCTCTGGGCCTTGTGTTTGCTAGGCAAGTACTCTACACTTCAATTACTCCTCCAGTCCCATTTGCTTTAGTTATTTTTCAGATGAGGTTTCATATTTTTGCCTGGGCCAGCCTTGGACCATGATCCTCTTACCTATGCCTCCCACAGAGCTGGGATTACAGGCTTATACCACCATGCCTAACCTGTTCTATA